AAAAAAAAAAAAAAAAGAAAACAAAACCCACTTGTGCTAAGCCCATAATAAGCATTTGGAGGAGTCCACAGTCTACCCAAAAGATCTGTACGTATCATAATGACCACTGAATTACCATTCAACGTGATGGATATTCAATAGAAAATTATGGGACTCCAAAACAGAGCTGTTTACCATGCAGCCAGTAAGAACCTGCTACACAGACTGGAACCTGAACAGTGAAACAGCGAAGAAGTTCAAAGCACAGCTAGCGGTATGTCTTATTCTCTCGGCACTGAATGAGACACGGACCATCTTGCGTTTTACAAGATGCAGGAGCGATGAGCAGGAAGCCCGACTATTCTAATACTCTTTCTGTAATTCCATTTTGGGTTAAAACTATCTGTTTAAAATTTGTAAAATATGAGATCCTTTACTGAATTCAGTTATCATAAAACCAGGGTTGGTGATCGCTGTTAAATGTAAATCGGATATATTTTTTTGTTTGAAAAACTTATTTTTCCACAGTATCTGTGGCCACAAAAGAAATTTTAAATATTTTACATTAAAAGAGCTACATCAAAAGAGCCCATACTCTTTCTGGAACTTTGTCTAAAACTGAACATCAATCTCAATTTTCCTAAAACATCTCTTCACTTTTAATGTAAAAAGATAAAAAAAAATACCTTTGATAGTTAATAACCTAAGTGTACCGAAAGACAGTATCACTCACATCAAGTTACATACATCTAAGATGACATTATTTAAAAAAAAAAAACAAACCTTCAGGGGCCCCTGGGTGGCTCAGTCGGTCAAGCGTCTGACTTTGGCTTAAGTCATGATCTCACAGTTTGTGGGTTTGAGCTCCACATCGGACTCTGAGCTTACAGCTCAGAGCCTGGAGGCTGCTTTGGATTCTCTCTCCCCCCCACCTCAAAAATAAACACACGTGAAGGTCTCCTAAAGTGGTTTGGCTAAGGCATAAAACAGAGTAAAACAAAAAAAGCTAACCCTGGGCTCTTCATTTAGTACTGTACCTCCTTAAGAGTACACAGAGGGGCACCTGCGTGGCTCAGCTGGTTAACCCTCCAACTCTTGATTTTGGCTCAGGTCGTGACCTCACGGTTCCCAGGTTCAAGCCCTGCAGGCGGGTTTGAGCCCTGCGGGCAGGCTCTGCTGGGGATTCCCGCTCTCCCTCTCTCTCTGCCCCTCCCCTGCTGGCTCTTTCTCTTTCTCTAAATTAAAACAAAATGAAACAAGAGTACAAATATATACTGCCTATCTTGTGGAGCTATCATACAAATTAGAAATGATGTGGGGATAATCTTTTATACACGTAAAGTTGATAAAGCCCAATATGGGTAACAAGTAGGCAATATACACTAGCAAAGCAGTGATGAAATTTTCGTTATACTACACTGACTCTGAATTAATAACAAGTTTGAATCTCACCAAGGAAAATGATGGACACTTGGGGTTCAAAGTGAAAATGATACTAATATTAATGTACACAAATAACCATAAGGAGTAGATGAGAAGACAGAAAAAAAAACTACACATATAAGCCTATATACATGTATGGAAAACACATACGAAAAATAATAAAAGCAACTTAATGTAATTCATTGACTATTTAACAGTATAAGAACTATAGAGTAAAGAAAAATTCAATTTTAGTATACGTGCTGCCGAAGAGAGCACTGAGTAAAGAAAAATTCAGAGTAGGCTGAGGTTGATCTGAAAAGCTCCCAGACACTGAAATCCGAAGTAGGTCTTTTAAAGAGAAAGGACGGACCACGGGAAAGAGGAGAGGATTTCAAAAGAAAGAGCAGCACAGCAGAACCATGAGCGAGTTAAGCCAGAACTACCAGGAGCGAGCAAGTTACTAACTAAAGTGGAGACAGTACTTGCTGAAGACCGCTGATAAAGAAGGCTGCTAAGACATGGAAGGGACGTACAGGCTGAGAGAAGTGGACCGCCACCAGAGGAGAGCAAAACAGAGGTTCTGAAAGCAGGACAGTCCCGGGAGGCAACAAACTGCGATTCTGGTCCCGTTATTCCTACTGCCTCATTATAAGGAGTCGGTGCATCAAACTCCATGTGGCTGTCCTTGCATTTGAAAAATAAGCAAGATACACAATACCTAGAATTACCGTCCGGTCTAAAATACGGTCTGTCACAACTAATAATAGGGAGCTACTATAGGGCAGGGGTCCCAAACATAAACGCCTCCAGTCAGGGAGGTACGGGAAATGCCAGAACTGAACCAGCTCTAGAAAGGGCGGTACTCCAAGCTGGCGGTATTATAACTGCTATCCTCAGGAAGGGGCAAGACGAGATGGGAGGACTTGTGAAGCAGAAAGCTCAGGACCCATACAAAAGAGAATCTACGACAAAACTTCAGCCAACAAGTAAGTACCTGTGGGGGCGGACAAGCCATAAATACGAATCTTTTACATAAAGCTTCCTGATTTTATTTTATTTTATTTTTTTAATTTTTTTTCAACGTTTATTTATTTATTTGGGACAGAGAGAGACAGAGCATGAACGGGGGAGGGGCAGAGAGAGAGGGAGACACAGAATCGGAAACAGGCTCCAGGCTCCGAGCCATCAGCCCAGAGCCCGACGCGGGGCTGGAACTCATGGACCGCGAGATCGTGACCTGGCTGAAGTCGGACGCTTAACCGACTGCGCCACCCAGGCGCCCCTCAAACTGTTTTAAGAAAATACCTAAGTAAAACACCTATGCCTAGTTTTTAACATCTATCACAGGATTTTAAGCAGAAGACTGATACGGTAAAGAATCGGCCTTTTCAGAAGACATTCATGCAAAGAATGACCTGGAACCAGGTAGTGATTAAAAAGGGAACTTACTGAAGGGAACTTACTAAGATGCTTCTGCTGAAAGGATAGTTAGACAATAAAAATAAGAAACCAGCAGAATCTGGGGACATACCAAACATGAAGAAAAAGCTGACCAAAGATAATTAGAAAATAAGTGTGAGGCATTAGGAAGCATTAACTTAATCCATAACAGAAAATCGTGAACAGCTGCGATTTCCCTTAACTATCGCTATACATTAGGAACCAGATCTACTCGTCAAAGCGCTCCAAAAGGCACACGAGGGCCACTTGGGTTTAGGAAACAGGTCAGAGCCAGCACTGTAATCCTGACGACTGTGCAAAGAAAAGAACTGCACCACGGGCTCGCGCCATACCGCAAACACACTGCAAGTGAGCCATCAAAGGATGGCTGGCAGCTCGGGACGGGTCTACAAACTATCTGCGGTAAAAAAAAAAAAAAAAAAAAAAAAAAAAAAAAAATTGAGAGTGTTTATAAAATCAAGTTTTAAAAACAATCTGACCAAAGTAATTTGGTCTACTGAATCTAATAATAAAAAATTGGGCCCCGTAGTTTTTTTTCCTTTCATTTTGCTGTATAACTTACTTTTACTGTATTTTACAAAATATTGGTCCTGTACCACAGAAGTCTAAAAAGCAGTGCTGTAAGTTATAAATTTTTAATGTTAAAAAAAGTAAAAGTTACAGTAAAAGTTTTTAAGTTATGAAGTAAAAATCTATTAGCAGGATATTTAATACGTCTTTTGCTTTTTTTGGTTTTATTTGTCTCAGAGGAAATAGAATTATTTTAATAGGCTTAAAATCTTTCATGTCTAGGCAAACTGAAATACTACGTAGTAGATCTCTGGGCTGTAGAAAATTACTTCTTTCCATTCACAGAGAACCAATTCTGTTAAAAACCATGAGAAAAAATGCCAGTATGTCAACACCTACAACGATTTTTAAATAAAGTTAACTTACCCATTACTACATAGGACTTAAATCGTGTTGATAATCTGTCCACAAAGGCACTTAAAATTTCCAATCCCATTAATGATACCTACAGACAGAAAAAATTGTAATGAATACAAACTACCAAAACATTCTTCAGTATCAATATATAATCACTGACATATAAAGATCTTCATATATTACCAAGTTTTTGTTTTTTCTAAGATACATTTTTTTGTATTTTTTTAATGTTTATTTATTTTTGAGAGAGTTAGAGAGAGAGAGAGAGAGAATGAATGAATGAATGAATGTGTGCAGGGGTGGGAGGGGTAGAGAGAGGGAGACACAGAATCCAAAGCTGGCTCCAAGCTCAAAGCGGTCAGTAAAGAGCCGGGTGTGGGGCCTGAACTCATGAACCGTGAGATCATGACCTGAGCCTAAGTGTGATGCTTAACCGACTGAGCCACCCAGGCATCCCTATTACCAAGTTTTTTTTGTCTTTTTTTTTTAAGAACATAAGGAGTTATGGAAACCACTTCAACAATAAATTTCATATTAAAAAGAATTTTTTAAAAATCCAAAAAAATAAGGAGAGTGAAGTATTCAGGGGTAGACAGTCATGAGGTTAGGGCCCTCTAATCTCAAATGGTTCAATAAATGCCACTACTCCTACTGATGTATAAATATGCAGGAAGATAAAGGCCAAATGTTAACAACTGGTAAAATGGGTGAAGGGTAGAAAGGTCACTGACTACACTTCCAACTTTCTTCCTGTAATGTTGAAATGTTTCCCAAATGCAAGTTAAAAACGAAGAGCGCCTTTAATTACAGAGGAACTCCAGCTTTTATCTCGGATGGAGACACTGGGAAAAATACCACTCCCACTTTACAAGAAAAAAAATAATCTGCAGATCTATAATTACTCTTAAATTCATCAGAAAGCTGAAGTTGTAGGATAATCACCTCGCCTGAAACTTAAGGAAAGACAGATGCCCCCAAGGGGAGATGGGACGTGAGCAGTAGGTCACATGTGGCAGAAGACAGAAGGAAAGCCGAGCCGTGGGACAAGCCGGCTAAGCGTTCCGCTGTACGTAACTCATTGTTAATAGCCGAATGTGGGCCAGCATGCAAATGTGTAATCCTCGCAGCCACAGACACAAAAGGAGGGACCCCATTTGCAGACTTTTTCTCCACAAACCTCCACCGGACACTATGACCGGAAAAGGGATCTATCTCTTGGTTGTCCGGGTCTCAGAAGAAGACAGCAGCTATCTCTGCAGGAAAGTCACAGACTTTTCCTTTCCCATACCGTTTGTAAGAAACAAAGGTATGAAGCCGCTGAGAGAAAGACAAATACTGTCACCCCAGGACACAGGTAAAAACTCACTGCTACTGAGTAAAGAGAAAAGAAAAAAAAGAGCACCCTACCTCTGAGGGAGAAGCAGAAAATCACCCCGGGGCTCAAATGTTTAAAGGTCTCCAGCTGAGGAGGGGCAGGATCTCTAATAAAGCCTCATCCCCTGGACTCAGGGACAAAGGGCTCGCAAGGCTGAAGCTGGACCAGAAAACCCAAGAACACTGCCACTCCCCACAACCAGGCTCGCAAGAACAGCCTAGGAAGCAAGAGCACTTAATCACTGGAGGAGAAAACACGGAGAAAAACCCTCCACGAAGCACAGGAAAAAAAGGGAAGGACTAAAGTGTAGGGTGTTGAACACTGAGCACCTAACAATTTATCCCACTCCTGGGGGGTGTGTGTCCAAAGCAGGACACGGATACTCGTATGCCAATGTTCACTACAGCATTATTTGCAATAGCTAAAAGGTACAGGGGCCCACATGTCCATCAACTGACGAACAGATACAGAAAATGTGGCATACGCTCAATTAAAAATGTGGCCAGGGGTGCCTGGGTGGCTCAGGTGGTTAAGTGTCAGACTTGAGTTCGGCTCAGGTCACGATCTCATGATTCGTGAGATCAAGACCCACCATGGGCTCCACGGTGGGGGTGGAGCCTGCTTCAGATTCTCTCTCTTCTCCTCGTCCTCCTTTTCCTCCTCCTCAGGGGGAAAAAAAAAAAAGTCTGGCCATAAATAGGACTGACTGGTACATGCTGAACATGAATGAACCCTGAAAACATTGTAAGTGAAAAGAAGTCACAAATGGCCAAATGTCATATGATTAAACTTATAAGAAACGTCAAGAATGTCTGGAATCGATGAATTGTACACTTCAAATAAATAAATTGTATAGTATGTAAGCTATATCAATAAAACCATTAAAACATAGTTGAAAATCTACAAATAGACTCACAGACTTAACAGACTTTACAGATGATAAAAGCAGTATCTCAAATCAGCAGGAAAAACATGCACACTTGGTAAGATCTCACTTAAAAAAAATCTATCCCTAAGATACACTAGCAAAATTATTAAAAACACGCAGACATTATTCATTGCAAGAGACCGGAAACTATCCAAACATTCATCAATATGAGACAGAGTCAATAAATTATGGTACATCCACACTCTAGGGTACTGTAACACTTTAAAAATAAAAATGACTACTCTCCTAATTCTGCTGTGCAATAACCTCCATGATATATTGTTAAGTGAAAAAAGCAAGTTGGGGCAATGTGCATGTACACAAAGACACAGTTATGTGTATATGAATAGACACAGTTACTTAGAAATGTTTATTAAAAATAACAACAATGAAAAACCAATCAGGAAAAAAAAACAATCATTAGAAATAGGCTATAAGTAATAGAGAAAGAAACCAAGACTATTGTGAATACACCTTATTTGTAGCAATAACTAATTTCACTGAAAATAAGTGAACCTAAATGTATACCGAATTATTATTATAACCACACAGATTTTCAAGTATAGCAATTTGATGATCTCTCTCCAGGGGGATACACACTAAACACAACAACAACTCTGCAAAAAAGAAACTTCAATGCTTTTAGAAATCTTGTTGGCTGAAGGAGATAGAAGACATACAGAAACAGGAAAGACTGCAGTCCGGAATCTGAATTAGAATCACTATAAACTCATGATGTATTTTTCTTTAAAACTAAAATAAAACCCAACCCTATTCACTGACAAGAACAATGAGTCCCACTGGCACTCACACCGCATTTTCCACATACTCGTTCCTACTAAAAAGAACAAGAGCTTCTTGGAGAAGCAGCTGATCCTAGGGCAGGAGCAGGAAATAGGACATCTCATGATGCCAGACAGCAAAGATACTATCGGAGGTTACTAGGGTCATGCCAAGACAGGACAGTTTGAATATTAATAAGGATAATAAGCGCACCGTCTTGAAACACATCAGATGCGCTTAAATACAAGAATCCGTAATGATGAGAACTACGTGGCCGATATTGGAGGAGGCTAGAAGACCACCCCAGTATTCTGACTATTAGTAAACAAAAGGAAAGAATCATAAATTACAGGTGTACCTCAGAAATATTGTGGATTCTGTTCCAGGCCACTGCAACAAAGGGAATATTGCAACAAAGTGAGTCAAGTGAATTTTTCCATTTCCCAGAGCATATAAAAGTCATGTTTACTCTGTACTGTGCTCTATTAAGCATGCAATAGCATCATGTCTTTAAAAAGTACACACCTTAATTAAAAAATACTTCACTGCTAGAGAAACGTTCACCATTATCTGAGCTCTCAGCAGGTTGCACTCTTTTGGCTGGGGGAGGGTGGTTGATGGCTACCGACTGATCCGGGGAGTGACTGCCGAAGGCTGGGGAGGCTGTGGCAATTTCTTAAAGTAAGACAACAGCGAAGTGTGCGACAACTGGCTCTTCCTTTCATGAATGATTTCTCTGCAGCACGTGATGTTGTTTGGCAGCGTTTTACCCACAGAATTTCTTTCAAAATTGGAGTTGATGTTCTCCAACCCTGATGCTGCTCATCAGCTGCTCAAAATATGCCATATTTTAAACATTTGCTGTCATTTCAACAATCTTCGCAGCATCTTCACCAGGAATAGATCTCGTCCCGAGAAAAGCTTTTTTTTTGGCTCATCCATCAGAAGCAACTCCTCATTTGGTCAAGTTTTATCAGGAGACTGCAAAGTCAGTCCCGACTTCAAGCTCCTTTTTTTTTAAGGTTTTTATTTTAATTCCAGTTAACATACAGTGTTGTGGGAATTTCAGATGTACAACATACTAATTCCACACTTACATCGCCCTGTGCTCATCACAACAAGTGCACTCCTTAATCCCAATCACCTCTGTAACCCATCAGAATATCCCGTGGGAAAAGGACAGTTTCTTCAACAAATGGTGTTGGGAAGACGGGACAAGAACGTGCAAAAGAATGACACTGGACCACTTTCTTATACCTTACACAAAAATAAGCTCAAAATGGACCAAAGACCTAAATATGAGGTCTGAAACCATAAAAATCCTACAACGGAACACAGGCAGTAACTTCTTTGGCATTGGCCGTAGCAACTTTCTCGGCAGGTCTCCTGAGGCAAGGGAAGTAAAAGCAAAGAAGCTATTGGGACTACACCTAAATCGAAAGCTTCTGCACAGTGAAAGCTCCACTTCTAGTTCTAGTTCTGCTGCTATCTCTGCCACATCTGAAGTTACTTTCTCCACTGAACCCCTGAAAGCCATCAGTTTCTTCCAAACTCCTGCTTATGTTGATAGTCTGACCTCTTTCCAGGAATCACGAATGTTCTTAATGGCATCTAGAATGGTGAATCTTTTCCAGGTTTGTTCAATTTATTCTGCCCAGCTCCATCACAGGAATCACTACCCATGGCAGCTACAACCTTATAATATGTATTTCTTAAATAAGACTTTAAAATTACTCCTTGATCCATGGGCTGTAGCACGGATATGGTGTTAGCAGGCACGAACCCGACGTGAATTCTTACTGCACATCTCCACTGTAGCTCTTGGGTACCGGTGCATTGTCATGATCAGTAATATTTTGAAAGGAATCTTCTTTCCTTCAATAGTTCTCAGCGGTGGCTTAAAATATTCAGGAAACCGTGTAAACAGATGAGCTGTCCTTCCGGCGTTGTTGTTTCATTTACAGAGGACAAGGAGAGTAGATTTAACACAATACTTAAGGGTCTCAGGATTTTCACAATGATGGGAGCCCTGGCCTCGACTTAAAGTCACCAGCTACATTAGCCCTAACAAGAGAGTCACCCTGTCCTCTGAAGCCAGGCACTGATTTCTCCTCTCCAGCCGTCAAAGTCCGAGGTGGCATCACCTTCCTGATACAAGGCTGCTCCGTCTACACTGGAAATCTGCTGTTTAGTCAGCGGCCTTCAGGGATCGCCCTAGCTGGGTCCTCTGAGCAACTTTTTGGGACTCCCGTGCTGGCTGTGCTACCCTGCACCTGTCGGTTATGGAGACGGCTCCTTTCCTTCAACTTCACGAGCCAACTTCCGTGGCTTCCTCACCAATCTCGGGCTTCAAGGAATTGAAGAGAGTTAGGGCCCTGCTCTGGATGAGGCTTTGGCTTAATGGAGCGTTGTGGCTGCTCTGATCTCTTCTCCAGACCACTGAAACTAGGTCTGGATCAGCCATGAAGCTGTTCTGCTTTCTTACCATTCATGCTCAGTTTCCTTCAAGCACCTTTCCTTTGCGGTCACAAGTTGGCTGTGTGTCACAAGAGGCCTAGGTTTTGGCCTGTCTTGGCTTTTGACTTGCCTTCCTAAGCTTAATCACCGCTAGCTTTGGATTTAACGTCAGACCCACGCAACGCTTTCTTTCACTTGAACGCGTAGAAGCCGTTGTGGAGCTATTAGTTGGCCTCATTTCAACACGGCTGTGTGTCAAGGAACAGGGAGGTCTGGGGGGAAGGAGAGAGACGGGAGCAGCTGCTCAGTGGGGCAGTCAGCACCACCTCGTGTAGAGACTGAGCTGGCCTTCTCAGATGGGCGTGGTTCGTGGTGCTCCCTAACAATTACGATAGAGCAATTGTAACATCTGAACGTACTGACCACAGACCATCATGACATACTGGAACCAGAAAAGTCTGAAATACTGCCAGGATTTACCAAAATGTGATACACTGATAACAAAGTGACCAAGCGCCACTGGGGAAATGGCAGCACTAGACACGTTTCATGCCCGGTTACCGCAAACCTTCAACTCGTGAGAAATGGATCTACGAAGCACGATAAAGCAAAGCACAACAAAATCAGGGATGCCCGCCTTTCTATTACAAACTACGCCAATGAAATAGAAGTGGAGGCCGGGGCGGGCCCCTGGGTGGCTCAGTGGGTTAGCTCAGGTTATGACCTCATGGTCGTGAGATCTGCGTGAGGCTCTGTGCTGAACATGGAGCCTGCCTAGGACTCTCTGTCTCTTCCTCCCCCTCCCCCTCCCACCTCCCCTCAAAATAACTAAAGAAACATTTTTTTAAAAAGGAGTAAATGGGGCGCCTGGGTGGCTCAGTCGGTTAAGCGTCCGACTTCAGCTCAGGTCACGATCTCGCGGTCCGTGAGTTCGAGCCCCGCGTCGGGCTCTGGGCTGATGGCTCAGAGCCTGGAGCCTGCTTCCGATTCTGTGTCTCCCTCTCTCTCTGCTCCTCCCCCGTTCATGCTGTGTCTCTCTCTGTCTCAAAAATAAATAAACGTTAAAAAAAAATTAAAAAAAAAAGAGTAAATGGGAAGTTTCTCTGTAGAAAGTATCCTAGTTAATAGGTGACAGAATGACAATTAGAATATCACTGTACAAGCCCTAACGAGTTAAGAGATCTAAGCAGCGAACATTAATGATTGCTAACATCATAAAAAGATACTGGCAGACCTTATGTGCCTTCTTGACATTATGTGCCTCCTGAGGAGGAAGAAAAAGAAAGGTTGAAACTGATCAAGCTTTAGGTCCAACTACCAACTTATAGTAAAATACAGAGGAACTAACACTACAGGAGTGAAATCAGCAAAATCACAACTGTGTGAAACTCCACAAATAAAGTGCAAGAATTTTTTTAAAAGACTCTTAAAAAAGAATTTTTAGCAGAGGTAGAAACAAACTCAGAGACTCAATAAACATGTGAACTGAGGGATGGCCTCCCAAAGGTGTTCACATCCTAACCTCCAGGACCTTATGCGGTAAAAAGAACTTTAAGGTGTGGTAAAGATCTTAAACCGGGGAAATTACTCTGGATTATCCTGGGCCCGATGTATCACAAGATCCCACACGAGCGAGAGGCGGGACATGAAGCAGAGATGTGAGCACAAAAGCGGCGGTCCGGAAGGTCTGAAGGTGCAGGGCCCCAGGGCGGCTCAGCAGTGAGCTATCCGTTACGATCTGTTGCTCATGTTAAAAATCAGATTGTTCGTTTTCTTATTGTGGACTTTTGAGAATTCTTTATTTTGGGGGCGCCTGGGTGGCTCAGTCGGTTGAGTGTCCGACTTCAGCTCAGGTCACGATGTCACAGCCTGTGGGTTCGCGCCCCACGTCGGGCTCTGTGATGACCGCTCGGAGCCTGGAGCCGGCTTCGGGTTCTGTGTCTCCCTCTCGCTCTCTCTGCTCCTCGGACCCTGCTCATGCTCTGTCTCTCAAAAATAAACATTAAAAAAAATTTAAAAAATAAAAAAACCCACAAAGACTTGAAGGTGCTATACTGCTGGCTTTGAAGATGGAAGAAGAGGCCACAAGCCAAGAAATGGCACGCAATTTCCAGAATCTGGAAAACTCTCTCCTCTAAGTTCTCCAGAAGAATACAGTCTTGCTGAAACCTTGATTTTTATCCCAATAAAATCCATTCCGTACCTCTTGCCTTCAAAACTCTAAGGAAATAAATGTACTATATGTTGCTTTAGGCTACTAAGTGTGTAATAATTTGCTACAGCAGCAACAGGAAACTAATGTATTAAACATAATGTGGAAATATTATTTGGATCCTGATTTTTCTTATAATAACGAATTTAACAATTTGTATGACTTTGATGTTTTTTTACTTTTGAGACAGAGAGACAGAGCATGAATGGGGGAGGGGCAGAGACAGAGGGAGACACGGAATCCGAAGCAGGCTCCAGTCCCCGAGCTGTCGGCACAGAGCCTGACACGGGGGCTCGAACCCACAAAATGTGAGAACATGACCTGAGCCAAAGTCAGATGCTCAGCAGACTGAGCCACCCAGGCGCCCCGTATGATGTTTCTGAAAATTAGAAATCTGACCCTGCATATTTAATACCAAGGAATTAGCTTTTTACATGTGTTAATGGTAGTGAGGTTATGGTAACAATTTTTTTTTTATGAACACTTATCTTTGACACACTAACTAGAAAGTCTTATTGATGAAACACTGTATCTGTGATTTATGACAAAGTAATGAGCATAATTAGCCATGGACTGGTGTTGTGGCTGGGTCTGCTTATTCTGTCTACCTTTAGATATGTTAAAAATCCTTCATAGCTCAAAGTTAAAAATTACAGTAAGTGTGATTGCTCATGGTGAAATTGTTCTTGAAACAAAGGACAATTCAAGGCCCACACTCTTTCACTCAACCTCATCCTAAGAGTCTTAGCCAAATGCACCAAAACCAAGCAAAACTAAATAAATGGAGAGAAGAAGCAAAACTATCATTATGGTCTGGGTTTTACAGTAGTCCCTGCTCATCCCCAGTTTCGCTTTCTATAGCCTCAGTTACCCAAGGTCAGCTGTGATTCGGAAGCAGATAATTCTCATCAGAAGGTCAACAGCAGCCTAACACAATGCCACACAATTACAATGCCCACATCACTAACCTCCCTTCAGCTCATCACTTTATTATCGACATCATCACAGGGAGGGAGACTACGGTACAAGGAGATTCTAAGAGAGACCACATTCACGTACCTTTTATTGTATTATGTTGTTATAAACGTTCTATTATTAATGTGAACCTTCTATGGTGCCTAACGTAAACTAAACTTTACCAGAGACATGTATTTACAAGGAAAAACACAGTAGATACAGGTTCTAGCTGCTGTTTCTGGCATCTGCTGGGAGTCTTGGAAACAGATTCCTCATGGATGAGAAGGGACTACCATATGTACAGAAAACCTAAAAGAATCCGCAAATTGCAGGAAAAAAAATGTTCTGAATTATAAGTAGGCTGGCCATAAAAAGTAATACACAAAATGCCATTTCATTTCAATATATCAGAAAGCAAAAATATCAACATGTATTGAATATATAAATACAAAAGCATGACAATAAAATGTTACAAATATAAAAGCAAAATAACATTTTTTAACAGGTAGAAAAACAGAAACTCTAAAAATCAAATTTGGAGCTAAGACCAAGCTTAAATTTTAGGGTGTTTTAAAGTCACAAAACCGAGGGCTGCGGGTGGCTCAGTCGGCTAAGTGTTCGAGTTTGGCTCGGGTCATGATCTCATAGTTCGTGAGATCGAGCCCCTGCATCAAGCTCTGCGGGGCCTGCCTGGGATTCTCTGTCTCCCTCTCTCTCTGCCCCTCCCCTGCTTGCTCACTCTGTCTCAAAATACATAAACATCTAAAAAATTTTTTTAAATTTTAAGTGAAATCAGTTAGAGTTTTTGTGTTTTTCTCCATCTACCTTCAGGTGCACTGGTACAGGTGTGGGATACGCAGCGTTCAATTAACCAGAATTGCACTTTATCAAATGAGGACCGTGAAATAAGTGTGAAGAGGGAGAAGAGAATTAAGAACGAATGACTGGAGTGATCAAACTCTTTAAGACGGAATACTCAAGGAAAATAAGGTTCGGGATTTGGAGTTCCAGAAGACCACAACCAGCAACAGTAATGCCACTTGTCAAGTCTGGACCAGCAGCAACCACACACCTGAACCGTGTGGCAGCATTTACAGCAAGAACACGCACTTGCACAGCCACCTGACTACCATTATGTCTTCATGGGTGGTCAGGCTGGGACATTTCCAGATCGACATCTACTTTATCTCATCACAAATTACATATAATTTTCCTTT